CCAACCTAGCGGTTCGAAAGCATGCAAATGCAAGTAGATAAATAGGGACCACCTCGGTGGGAAGGTAACAGCGTTCCGTGTCTAAGTCGCACTGGCCATGTGACCACGGAAGATTGTCTTCGGACAAACGCTGGCTCTATGGCTTGGAAACGGGGATGAGCACCGCCCCCTAGAGTCGAACACGACTGGACAAAAATTGTCAAGGGGAACCTTTACCTTTACCTTTTTAGAGGAAGCCAGAGACCATGCAATGTACAGTGGAACCTCAACTTACAAACGTCCCTACTTGCGAACGATTCGAGTTACGGATGGCTCCGTCTGCAAAAAGTTGCTTCGACTTGCGAACGGAGCCTCGACTTACGAACCAAAAAGAAAAAAACTTTCCTGCCCCTTTTTTGACAAATCGATTTCCATGGATTACAAGCCCTGTGTAAACATAGTCACTCTCGGGATTGGATGGCATGAGAGTTCATGTTAAATGAAAGTTCTTAGTTTTCAATATATTTTTGTTCTTATTTCTGCCTTCTTTGGTGTCTTGCTCTTGATGAAAGAAGCTAACCTCCCTGAAAAGGACTACAAGTGAGCTTACCAAGAGATACCAGGTGGGCCAAATTCTCCTCCGTGACTTCCCTGTGGAGATCTCTTTGGCCTGGATCCAGTAGCGCCCACTCCTCCTCGGAGAAATACACCGCCACGTCCTCAAAGGCTACTGGACCCTGAAATAAAATGGAACTTCTTAATCTCCTAGATGAGGATGATTCTCCCTTAATACAGTTGTGCCTCGCTTTACGATTGTCCCGTATAACAACAAATCCGATTAACAATGCCTTTTTTTGCGATCGCAAAAGCGATCGTGAAACGATGCTTCCTATGGGCAAAATCCGCTGTGCAATGATTGGTTCCCTGCTTCGGGAACTGATTTTTCGCATTTGCGAACAGCTGATTGTCAGGTTCCAAAATGGCCCCCAGCTGAAGAAAATGCAATACCAAGACACATTCAATGCAGCAATACAAAAATCCATTTAAAGATCCACTCAGCAGTTGTTCACTGAGAGAAAGCCCGCCTGAACAGAAAGGTCTCTGCCTGCTTGCGGAAGGTCAGCCTGGCCTCCAGTAGCAGGGAGTTCCAGAGTCTGGGATCAGCCGCAGAGAAGGTGCTCTCCTGTGTCCCCATCAGATGCACGTATGAAAGTGATGGGACTGAGAGAAAGGCCTCTCCTGAGGATCTTAACACTAAAGCGGGCTCATAATGGGAGATGTCGTCCTTGAGACAGCTTGGACCCAAACCATTTAGAGGTTTATAGGCTAAAACCAGCACTTTAAACTCCACCCAGAAACTGATCAGCAGCCAGTGGAGCTGTCATAATAGGGGGCATTATTCCTGTGGCCAGCCCCAGTTAGCAATTTGGCTGTCGTGTTTTGGACCCGCTGAAGTTTCCTGACACTTTCCATAGGCAGCCCCATGTAGAGCGTGTTACAGTAATCCAGACAGGTTGTAACTAAGGCATGAATTACAATGGCCAAATCAGAATTTTCCAGGAATGGGTGCAGCTGGCACACCAGTGTTTACTGTTGCTCGAACACACAAACACACCAAAGTGTCTACTTCCCTGAAAGGTAACTGAGATGTAATACTTTAGGAATCTAGATGTAATACTCTAGATAATCTCACCTTTCCCCATGGTCAGTTTTGATAAAAGCAAATGGAAGGGGTAAGATTCCTTTAGGTTCCAAGTACAGTGGACCCTCAACTTACGAAGGACCCTACTTACAAAAATTTTGAGGTACAAAAAGCTCTGGCCGCAAAATTTTGGTTTGACTTGCGGCCGGAGCTTCGACCTACGAAAGGCAGGGGGAAAGCGGAGCGGCTTTCAGCTTCCTGGGCTTCACAACCCCCTTCGGGGTCCCTGTCTCCCGTCCCTGGTGCCCTCTACCTTCTGTCCCTGTGTGATTTTTTTTTCTTTGCCTGGGACAGCTTAAATGCTTTTCAATGCATTCCTATTGGAAATGGAACCCTCGACCGACGGACTTTTCGACCTGCAGCCACCATTCCAAAACTGATAAATTCTGTAAGTCGAGGATCCACTGTATGCCTACAAGGGAGAGAAGTCGCCAGGTTCTTTCTGCCTGAGGGTTCGCTGAATCTCCCTACCTGATCGGATTCAGTAGATGCTATTTCCATTTCACCATAAGGAAGAGATGAGTGTGGATGTGTTGTCAACATATTTCCAATGCCTGAAAGAGACAGACCAGCAGGGTGAGAAGATGCTTATTCTTCTTGTAACACCACATTCTTTACTTCTGCAGGAAAAAGTTTGAACCATTCTGCCAGGGATACCGCCTAGGAAGTGCTTTTAGCCCTAAATTCTCTGACCCAGCTCCCCATCGCTGGCAGAAAGACAGTTAAAATGGAATTCAGCATCTTCGAGAAGGTATACGAGAGCAAAACCAAGTAGAAATAAGGTTGACCAATTCTTTACCTGATAGATCGGCTTCTCCACTTTCTGCCTGTGTTTCCCCCTGAAAGGGTAGCTTGAGTCTTGGCTCCCATGGGAGGATGGCTGCCTGGGAGAAGCCAGTGGCCAATGGTGAGAAGCCCTGCAAGCAAAACAAAATGTGGACACTCAACACGGGAATCAACAAAGAAGTGAACAAACAAAAGACACAAGAAGGAATGACAGCTTCGGAAGAGTAAAGGGAGACATACTTTGACTGGACAATTCCCATCAAAGGGTGGGCAATGCTCAGGAAGACCAGAATTCTCACCAGCAACTCCTCTTGCTTCTTATCTGCTGCCTGGCCCAGGAGGAAACCTTCCGCCAAGGACACAGCCTGGGAAGTGGATTCTGGCCTACATTCTCTGACCCAGATCCCCATCGCTGGTGGGAGGACAAGCAGAAGCTGTTCGAGGACGATCAGGTCCAGCATCTCCATCTTGGTGTGTTTTTCTGGCTTCAGCCACTGACGGCAGAGACGGTGGAGTTGGCTGCAAACCGCTCGGGGCCCTTCAGCCTCCTGGTAGCAGAACGCCCGGAACGGCTGGCTCTGAACATCTGGACCAAGGGGCTCCCCACAGAGACTGTACAGTGTGGTTCTTTCTGGGAAGTCTTCATTATGCCATAGGTCCATGCCATCCAGCTGTCTTCCAACATCACCACCAGCACAATCTTGCATGTTCATCTCCTCCAAAGCAGCCACAGGAATGGAAGAGAACGAGGACGCAACCCTGAACAGCAATTCAGGAAGGAGGCCCCTCTGCCTGATCTATTAACAGCCAACCTTGAAGGGCTTTAAGACACCAGAATATTTTAATAATAAAAAATAGTTATTAATAATCTTAGAAAGGCGAAGTGGGAAAGGAGCTTAGGGAGCATCACGTCCAGCCCCTGTCAATGAGGCAGAAGCGGGGACTCGAACTCGCAACCTCTAAACCACTGATGCCCAGACCAAAGAGGGAGGGAAGGAAGGTGGCACCTGGCTCCCCCAGGGACCAGCTGAGCCTCCCTATCCCCTGGTCCTGCCCCCCAAGCCAAGCCAAGCCTTCGCCCCCTCTTCTCCAAGCGCTGCCCCACCGCCTCCCTCCCTTCCTCTCCCCGCCCAGAATTTCCTCGCTTCCCGCCCCCTCTCCACCGAAGCATCTGCAGCCCCTCCGGGAACTCCCAAGATGGGGGGGGGTTCTTGCGGGAAAGAAAAGGACGGCGCACCTCGGAGAGCGGAAGCGCCCTCCTTCCTTCCCTGCGTGGCGCTCTAGGATGACACCACTCTCTGCTTTAACCCTTTTAGCACAAAGACCGAGGAATAACGAGCGGCTCCGTCTTTTGGGGTCTCGTTCCTTGAGCGCTCTTTGTGTGCACAAGGAACGAGACCCTAAGGACCAGCGGCCCGTTCTTCCTTGGTTTCAAATCATCTGTCCTTGGTTTAAAATGCACCAGAAAGGAACTGTTTAGTGGATGCACGCTCTACTTAAAAATAAATAAAAATGGCTTTGCCTTCTTTCCTGATCAGAATGTATTTCATTATGCTACTAATCATCATCATCATCATCCAATCAGCAGGTGGAGTTATTCCGTATAGTGCGCGACCTATTCGGAACTGGTTCAGGTGATAGGCCTCCCCCTAGTTTTTCCCCTGACCAGTTTGCAGCATTTTTAAAATCTAAAGTGGAGGCCATCCGCCGGGAGCTCTCTCCTTTTTTGAACGCAGCGAGTCGAGCTGAGATGTCCAGCGCTCCGTCTTGCCTGGTCATTTTCGACTCCTTTCAGCCGGTAACGCCCGATTCTGTAGCCAGGGTGCTTGACCGCTGTCGGGCCACCCCCTCCTCCTTGGACCCTTGCCCGGGCCTGGCTAACCAAAACAGCCAGGCTGATAACAACAGAATGGGCCACAGTAATAATAAATGAGTCTTTCCTTGAGGGTAGATT